TAGGAGAATGACAAGGGGTGGAGGCTGGGAGGAGAAATCAGCTCCTGCCCAAGCCCGTATTCTTTCTTGGCTGCCAGGGGCATTCCCCCTCCCCCCCCCCCGATTAGGCACCGGGCACATACTCGCCCTCAAGTTATTTCCACTTGCCAAATGTGAGCATGCGGCCTGCTAGTAGCACACTAGAGGGTGCTACACTCGTATCACGTGTGGATTTTTCCTGTGCAGGAATCTGCAACCTGTATAAAATTCATTGAAACACGCATGAAAACTGATGTCTCTACAAGTGAATCTGCACATTTTTTTCCATCAGTTTTTCTGTGCGCATTGGTAGTCACAGAGATCACATGATCCGGTTACCATCAGTTACTGTGCCTGGAATGCGCAGGGAGCACACTCTTAGCACAGTAAAGTATTTACCAATGTGGACGCTGAACTTAAAGCCCACCCATCAAGAACTGGGAATTGGTTAAGTATTTAGAATTTTTTTTTTTAGAAAAAGTGAACTTATCCTTTACAGAGGAACTTCAGCCTCCCCCCAAAAAATTAAAAGTCAGCAGCTACAAATACTGTATAAGGATATTTACCTGTCCAGAAATTCAGCACTGACCTCACTGGAGCCGATTCTTCAATCGGCTTCAGGTCCAGGCACCGGCATTTTAACTAAGGGAAACCAGCAGTGAAGTCTTGTGGCTTCACAGCCGGTTTCCCACTGCTCAAGCCAGATCCATGCTGCGCTTTGTGAATGGTCCAGCAGTCTTCTGGGACCTTTGATGTGTCCAAGAAAGCTGTGGGGAAGGAGTGGGAGGGAGAACTTCCACTTGGATCGCCGAGGCAATCCAACCAGAAGTGAGAGCAGGTTCCTGCCAAAAGTTGGTACCTGCTCCCCCCTCCCTGAAAAGTGTGAGAAAGAGAGGATGCAAACAAAGGGAACTTCTTGAGAATCTACGTGAGTTTGGTTACAGCCTAAAGTGGTTGTGGAGGCTGAAGGTTTTTTAACTTCATGCATTCTATGCATAGGTATGGTAAAAAAAAACATTATGTGTGCAGCTTCCCCCTCAGCCTCCCCAGAGCTTACCTGAGCCTGATATCAATCCAGTGATAAGCACAAAAGAAGCGGCTCCCCTGGGTCTCTCTCTCATTGGCTTCAGCTGGTGCCAATCACAGCCAGTGAGGAGGGAGCGGGGGGCGGGACTGAGCCACGCTCTGTGTATCACATAGATACACAAATGCAGCTCAGGAGCGAGCACGCACAAGCTGCTTGCTCTGGGGACACTCAACAAGGGGGAGGGGCCAGAAGCGCAGGCAGGAGACCCGAGAAGAGGAGGATTGGGGCTGCTCTGTGCAAAACCATTGCACAGAGCAGGTAAAAAAAAAAAAGCTTTCAGAATCCCTTTGAAAGAAAACTTTTAATTAACATATCCAATCACTTTAAAATCTCCAATTCATATTTGATGTTATTTGTATAAACTGTACATTTTTTTACCTGCCCCTCTCTGTCTAGGCCATAAAGCCTTTTCATTTTTTGTACTTTTAGACGAGCCTTATGTGATCTGCGCGATGTATTTCTGGGGGCCACAGAGTAGTGAGATGACAAGTATGTGGAGATTGCAGATGATGGAGGTGGTGCTGGGGATCTGAAAAATACAACAGTTTAGCTGGTTAGTAAATAATTCATAGGATAGATAATGTATATACTTTCTGTTCAAACCTTTCCAGACACCTGACTATTAAACCTATATGAACTTGTTGGACATCCAATTAAAAGCAATGGGCATTAATATGGATTTGCCCCTTGGCCTTATAGTTTTATCAGTCTCCATTCTTTTGAAAAGCCTTTCCACAGGGTTTTGGAGCCTTTCTATGGACATTTGTGTCCATAACTAAACACATAAAACTAACATTTGTGAGGGCAGGTATCAATGTTCAATGAATACTTGGTTTGCATATAGCATTCCACCTCATCCCAAAGATGTTCAATACTGTTGAGATTAGGGCTCTGTGCAGGTCACTTGGGTTCCTTCACACCAACTCAACAAACCATATGTTCATGGAATTGCACAGGGGGGAGCTGGCAGCAGGGATTTTTTAATGTTCATTCTCAGTAGCATTATATTTGATGGCCAACTCTTCTCACTGCTACCAGTTCCCAGGTCAGTGTTTTCCCATGATACTGAAGCTGACAGCACACAAGATCTGATACTTCATAAAGTGTGGGATCCCTCCAAAATTTACAGATCCCCATACATTTATTAAAAGGAACAGTTTACAGAATCTTTTTTGAATTAGACATTATCTATTCCTGCAAGTATTTAAAATTAAATGTGAGGTATGGTGATAGGGTCTCTAACCTGACATTAATCATTTTGACAATTTTGCTTGATAAATCCAGCTCTTCTATAATATGAGCATAGGGAGGAGGAGAAGACTGAAAAAGCATTACACAGTATTTACTAGCTGCATTCTCCAATGCCAGGTTTACACTGCTCTGCTGTGGCAGTGGGTGTATGCATTGTTTTCTTTATAGTACACCACAAAAAAGGGTATTCATGACTATGTGTGTTATAGGCCACCTATAAGTGAATGGACACTGGCCGACCAATCAGAGAGGAGATCCTCCCCTATATAATCCCCCCTATATAGGAAGTACCTCAGTTTTTTCGCCAGTGTCTGGAAGGTGGATGGTCACTGAAAGTGTTGCTGTGCTCTTGGACCATACCTGAAAGTCCACAGCTGTTCTTTATGATGTGCCTTGACTATATTGTCATTTGTGAGTACAACACATACTTTATTTTTTATTAAACATTTTTTATGGTAATGCACTAGGCCTGTGCGCCCTCTGTTTTTTCTTTCCTCAAACTACATTCTGACCTGGGCAGAGAGATACAGTATGTTCCAAGTCTGTCAGCAATGTTCATTCCAAGTGTGGAAAATTGGCAGGCGGATTATCTCATTCGCTGCCAGTTGATTCCAGGGGATTGGGGTTTGCATCCTGATGTTTTCAAGGAAATCTGCCAGCGATGGGGTTGCCCAGATGTAGATCTATTGGCATCCAGGTTCAACAAGAAGGTCGGTCTTTTTGTGTCCAGGGTAAGGGACCCTTGAGTGGCAAAGGTAGATGCCTTCGTGATTCCTTGGAGTCAGTTCTCACTGATTTAAGCCTTTCCTCCGATCCAGCTGCTGCTGCGTCTCTTACGCAAGGTTCCAGAGGAGTCTATTCCGGTGATACTGATTGCTCCGGCCTGGCCCAGGAGGGCCTGGTATGTGGACATAGTGAAGATGGCAGTAGACGGGCAGTGGGCCCTGCCATATTGGTCAAACCTGTTCTCTCAAGGTCCTATATTGCACCCATCTTTACAGTCACTAAATTTGACAGCGTGGCTAATGAAACCCAGTTCCTCAAAGGAGAGGGGAGTGTCGAATTCTGTCATCCCCATCATGTTGGGTGCTAGAAAGGAAGATTCTAGGAGCATTTATTACAGAACCTACAAGGCTTACATTGCCTGGTGTGAGGTTCACAAATGGCACTCATGAAATTATGTGATTAGCAGGATTCTGTCATTTCTTCAAACAGGGTTGCAGAAGAATTTGACTGTTGGTACCATTAAGGGCTGAGTTTCAGCATTAGCTATTTGTTTCCAGAGGCCCATTCCGTCTCACTCTTTGGTCCACACATTTTTTTACAAGGAGGGATGCGTATGGCTCCTCCTGTCAGGTTGCCTTTGTGTCCTTGGGACCTGAACTTGGTTTTGGAGCTCTTGCAAAAGCCACCATTTGAACCTACTGGAGAGATTCCACTGGTCTTGTTGACTCGTAAGTTGTTGTTTCTAGTGGTAATCACTTCTGCAAGAAGAAGGGTGTCAGAGCTGGCAGCTCTATCTTACAGAGAACCATTTCTGGTTTTGCATCATGATAAGGTGGTGTTGGGACCTTATCCATGCTTTTTACCAAAGGTGGTTTCTGGTTTTCATCTCAATCTTGACATAGTTCTGCCTTCATTCTTTCCTAGACCTCAGTCAGCAAGAGAAAGATCTCTGCATTCCTTGGATGTGGTTCGTGCTGTAAGGGTCTTCTTGAAGGCAACAACACAGGTCAGATGCTCTATTTGTGCTACCAGAAGAACCTAGGAAGGGCCAGGCGGCATCCAAGGCAACTATTTCTCATTGGATCTGCCAATTGATCATTCAAGCCTATGGTTTAAAAGGTAAAGTCCCACCCTTTAGCGTGAAGGCACACTCCACCAGGATGTCAGTGGGTCAGGTTTGCAAGGCTGCTACATGGTCTTCAGTTCACACATTCACATGGTTCTACCATGTGGATGTCAGAGCCACAGAGGATTCTGCCTTTGGCTGCAGTGTTTTATGGATGGCTGAGTAGGTCCTGAGGGTTTATTGACAGTGGCTATCATGGTGTCACACTACCCTCAAATTTCTTATTGCTTTGGGACATCCCACATAGCCATGAATAGCCTGCTCTGTGTCCCGTAATGTACATACTTACCTGTAAAATCCATTTCTTGGAGTACATCACGGGACACAGAGGTCCCACCCCTCTTTCTGGAATGTCATTGCTTGCTACAAAAACTGAGGTATTTCCTGTATAGGAGGGATTATATAGGGGAGGCCCTCTTCTTGGATTGGTTGCCCAGTGTCCTTTCACCTGAGGGTGGCCTAAAACCCACATAGCATGAATAGCCTGCTCTGTTCCATGATGTACTCCAAGAAATGGATTTTACAGGTAAGTATGTAGAAAAAAAAATCCAATTTTCATGCATTTTACCCACATTTTTGCCAACGTCCCTTAGACTTCTAGTAGGTCATGCATTTTTGCCACATTTTCTGAAGGTGCACCAAAGATGCAGTATGAAGGGTGTGCTTTCAGAAAACGCAGCAAAAATGCACAGCCTAAGAGAAGTCTATAAGACTGTGGGTAAAAAGCACTAAAGCCACTCTTATGCCCGCACTGCGGCCAAACCACAGCACAGCATTTTTTACATGGCCTAGCTACAAATCTATAATTGACATTGACCGTAAATGAATACAGCTCAGAAATATTACATTGAAAGATTGTGACAACCTGTATTGTGTGACCGCATTGAGCTGTTTCTGCTCTAGGTCCTCAGTTCTGGGGATCTGAAGAAGCAACTTAATTTCGCCTCTAAGTCTGTCTGAAATGGTCCCGGACTCTGCATAATTTACTATGTCATACATAATTGTTGTCCGAGGCATGTTTTTCAGTGACAGTCTTCTCCAACAATTATCTCGGCCTCCAAGGTGTGCTGGCGTTTCATCGAGGTGACTTGTGTACTAAAGGCATAAATTAAATACGTAATTAATTCAAAATATCATTACATCTTATTTGCATAATTTCTTCACAAGCCATTTTGCAGATCTGCAACCAGTTAGGATTTTATAATCACCAAATCAACGGAAATTTTACATTTTAAAATTACAATTTTCCTTTCCTAGTATATGGTAACATTCTAGCGGCCTCTCCCAGAGTTTTGCACATAACTTCAGTCAGAATGTTTCATGGTATATGGCATTGGTGGGCAAGCTGCTTGGTCCTTTAGATTTTCTGCACTAATACTATACTAGGAAAACATATAAAGTTATATTTGTATCAGAGCTAGGCTTACCATCAATATCAATCAATCTACCTCTCAGCGTCTGTATCCGTATAACCATTAGTGCTAGTATGAGCGCCAGTGAGTCAATATCTTTGTCCATATATATCTTATCATCTATCTGAAGACCAGCCTGCCAGCAGTATTAACTTTTTTAAAGAGGAGCTTCAGTCCCCCCCAAAAAATGAAAAGTCAGCAGCTACAAATACTGTAGCTGCTGACTTTTAAATATACGTACACTTACCTGTCCAGGGATCCAGCAATGTCCTCACCTGAGCCTATTCTTCAATTGGCTTTAGGTGCAGGTGCCAGAATTTTAGATAAGAGATCAGGCAGTGAAGCCTTCCAGCTTCACATCCAGTTTCCTACTGCGCATGCGCGAGCCATGCTGCGCTTTCTGAATGGTCCCGCAGTCTTCTGAGACCTGTGTGTCTTCACAGATTGGCATGGTGATTTGAAGTGGAAGTGGGTACCTGTCAAAACCAGGTACTCGCTCCCCCCTGCCCACCCAAATGTGCCAAATGTGGCAGTGGGGGGGTGCAAACAATTAGAACTTCCCCTTTTGGGTGACGTTCCGCTTTAATGACTTACTAAAAAGACTGCTTAAGTAAAATGTATGTCTTGGAAAAATACAAAAACATATTCAGCACTTGTTTGCAGTTGTTTTACGTTTTTACACCAGGTGTGCATGAGGCCTTAGCTTTGATCTTACAAGCCCTCCATTGTATGCCTAGGAATAATTCAACTAAATGTTTCTAGACAAAAATATAGAAAACATTCTGGAAACAGAAAGAAGCCAGTCTTTCCAGCTTTTGTCACACAAAGCCTCATGTGTAAGAGGCTATCAATTATTAAGATAGACAGTTTGACTGTGCATTCATAAATTCTTTGACAGCTAATAGATAATAGAAATGAAAAGGAGAAAAAAAAGGACACTGAAAGAAACGTGTAAATATGGGAGTTGCAAGTGCCTGTTATTTTTGGAAGGTACGAACTCCAAGGCTGTCATTCTCATCCTTACATTAGTCAAGAAGTGACCCAGAACAAGCATGCTCAGTGTAAAGTGTCATGAGTGAAGGGTCAGGACACCTGATATGAAAATGCTTGCCCATAACTCAACAAGTCCGCTAAAGACTGCTGGCAAATTGATACTTAGGTGAATGTTGATCTCCTGAGTCCTCCACAGCTCTCATTGGTTCCTCCTTATGAGTTTCATCTGACTACAGAAGATAGAAGTGATGTTGAAGTCAGAAGAAGGAAATCGTAAGAGCTGCAAGTGTCAGGAATCAGCAGTAGGAGTGGTCATATCTGCGTGGCTACACTCAGGAAACTGGGACCACACTGTGGGGGAAATTTACTAAAACTGGAGCACTCAGACAATGGTGCAGATGTACATGGTAGCTAATCAACTTCTAACTTTAGCTTGTTCAATTAAGCTTTGGCAATAAAACCTGGAAGCTGCAGATTTTACACGCTCCAGTTTTAGTAATCTCCCCATGTGTATACTTTAAGTGAGATTTATTTACTGTGAAATTCATCCAAACACCAGCACACAGCAAACCATTAAAATATAAGTAACCAAAAACCCAGTGACAGAATACCTGACTAATAACTAACAACCAACTACTGTATATACAATATGTGCAAAATGAGGAACACAGAAATCATGGAAAATTGGAGGTGCAGGGAGCAAATGGGAAGGGAGGAAAGAAACTGGGATCAGGAACAAAGGAGAGCAGGTACAAGGCAACAGGGTACAGCATACAGGGCAGGAGCAGTAACAAGATAACAGCTAGCAGTATCTGGCAACAAGCAAAACAATGGAGCACCTAACAATGGACCTAAATATCCTCCCAGGAGCCAGCATCAGGTGTAAACTGATTACTTAGGTTTGCTGGCTGCTGGGAGACACCCAATGGTGGACACTGGAATTACAACCCTCTGCCCAGGGAACCACAGTGCCACCAGCAGGTGATCCGGTGTCAGGACAGGGCTCCGGCTACTTAACAACCAGTTCTTTTCTTTCAAGTGCTCAGAAGCTGCTCAGTTGTGGTTAATTACCAGCCACTTGTTGTCTCCACAGTAACTCACCTGGATACCATTACCTGCTTCATTGGTCCGGCCTACAGCCAGCCCTTTGTGCTATTTTAGCAGTTAGCACATGTCCTCTTTGCACTTGCATGGTCTATGGTCTCCAGTGTGTACTTGCCTGTATTCCCATGTACAACTCGGTCTGGCTGACTTCTCTTCCGGTTCCTGCTCCTGATTTTTGGCTTCTGAATATGCTGGCTTCTGGTTTCTTGACCCTGGCTTGTCTGATTACCTGCACTGGCATCCAAACCCTGGCTTCTGTTTTGACTATGTTCCTGATCTATGTTATATTTGCTATTTCATTAAAAGTGTGATTTTAACTGCATTTTCTGTCTCCGCCTGGTTTCTGGTTTCTGACATCACTGTCCTAACACCAGGGTAATTTTATTTTGTTTTTGTTTTAAAAATATTTAAAGTTAAAATAAATTTACCCTCCAGGTGCTAAAAATTTGTAAAATTAAGAAAACGTGTTCTAGCTTAATGGAGAGCTTTGCATGGCCAGAGCTGAAACTTCAAAAGCCACTCACTGCACTAGTGACATACACTCTCACTGTACTAGTGGCATGGCAATCCATTTTTGCTATGTGCATATCTGACATGTTATAAGTATGGCAAACATGACCATGTTTCACCTTAGAGTTTTAGTAACAGTGTAGAAAGAAGGATACAGTACTGAAATAAGGCATACATCTAAACTAATCAGCAGAGGTGATATTTCATCATCATTTTTATGGGCTGCAAAGATGAATTTACACATTAAAATGTAGAAATGTTTCAGATAATCTTTAAATACAGTAATTATAGACACTGATTTATTTTTTGCTTACTTGCATATAATCTTTAAAAGTGGCCACATCCACAGCATCTGTTACTTTGTATGCCTGATGTTCGAGGTGATCATAAATCACTTGGTCATAGTATGTTCGATGCCCCATCAGTTTACAAGCATCCACTGCAGCCTATAAAATAATAATCGGGGCAATTGACTGAAATACTGATGTAGCATTACTGTCTATTTGTTAAAATTGTACATCATGAACAGTACCATTTAAACATTATTTCCTGTGTGTGTCCACAGAGAAAATGTTTCTTCTATTCCTGTTCTGTCCGGCACCTGTCACTTGTGCAGGAAATGAGGGAAAGGGAAATACCCCATATGGGTGCACAAGCAGCAATGAAATCTTGACAGGGATTCTAAATGTTCTTTACTCCACAAAAAATGTTGTTTTTCATGTTGCCTGTGCTCTTATTAAGGATAAATATTGTATAGTAGTACTAACAGATACACACATATACATAGTACATATGTATATGTACTATATATTCATGCTAATGATTACACTTTACAACGGCTGTGCATTTATGTTGAATAAAATTCATATATAGATCACCTCACTTGAAGGACTAATCACTCTTTTTCCACTGATGTATCGGCTGTTATGATTGCCTGAGCGGTGAAAAATTTTAAAGACAATGAATGGTGGGAACTCATAGCCTGCAAATCTGTAAAAAAAAAAAAAAAAAAAGTGTGAATTAAGAATACATTCTGACCAGAAAATCTGTCCCTCAAGTGTACTGCTAAATGTCACAGAACAGCCTTTACCTGAATCTTACTTTACACTGCATTCCTGGATCCTTCAGCAGTTCTGCCTCCAGTGGACTGACCTTCTTCAGGATGCCATATGCAGCACATTTTTTCCTGCAAAATGATTTCAAGAAAAAACTGTAATCCCTAATATCTAGTAGTGTTTCTCAAACCTAACATCAAGTCCACCAACAGTTCATGTTTCTGTTTCATAGATGTAGCACTATGGAGTGTTTTATGGTAAAGCAATTGTCAAGGAATATACATGTTCAAAAAAAAAAAAAAAGTATAAAAAAGTTTATTTACTGACACATATTTACCGATTAAAAGAAAGAAAGAAAAGAGGGAAAATAGGGAAATATACACTCACCAGCCACTTTATTAGGTACACCTTGCTAGTATTGGGTTGGACCCCCTTTTGCCTTTAGAACTGCCTTAATGCTTTGTGGCATAGAATTAAGAAGGTGTCAACGAGGTGTTGGAAACATTCCTCAGAGATTTTGATCTATATTGACATGACAGCATCACACAGTTGCTGCAGATTTGTCGGCTGCACATCCATGAAGAGAATCTCCCGTTCCACCACATCCCAAAGGTGCTGTACTGGATTGAGATTGGGTGACTGTGGAGGCCATTAGAGTACAGTGAACTCATTGTCATGTTCAAGAAACCAGTTGGAGATGATTTGAGCTGTGTGACATGGTGCATTATCTTGCTGGAAGTAGCCATCATAAGATGGGTACACTGGCACCCGATGTGGTCTTCTGCTGCTGTAGCCCATCTGCTTCAAGGTTCGACATGTTGCGTATTCATGGATGGTATTTTGCATACCTTGGTTGTAAAAAGTGGATATTTAAGTTACTGTTGCCTTTCTATCATCTCGAACCAGTATGCCCATTCTCCTCTGACCTCGTAACATCAACAAGGCATTTTTGTCCACACAACTACCTCTCGCTGGATATTTTCTCTTTTTCTGACCATTCTCTGTAAACCTTAGAGATGGTTGTGCATGAAAATCCCAGTAGATTAGCAGTTTTTGAAATACTCAGACCTGCATGGTTGGCACCAACAACCATACCAAATTCACGTAAATCTCCTTTCTTCCCCATTCTGATGCTCAGTTTCGAACTTCAGTAAGACATCTTCACCACGTCTAGATGCCTAAATGCATTGAGTTGCTGCCATGTTATTGGCTGATTAACAATTTGTGCTACCAAGCAATTGAACAGGTGTACCTAACAAAGTGGCCGGTGAGTGTACAATACCGTGCAAAGTTTTAAGCAGATGTGAAAAAAATGTTGTAAAGTAAGAATGCTTTCAAAATTATACATTTTTATTTATTTTATTTTATTCTTTCCAAAATGCAAAGTGACCAAACAGAATAAAAATTTAAATCAAATCAATATTTGGTGTGACTACTCTCATCACAAATGTGCTTAGATAATATTTTCAACACCAGTGCAGCGCTACTCTCACTAAATGTAAATTAAATACAAATTTCCTTTTAGTATAATAATCCATATAATAAAGTTTTTTTTCTGTAATCTGTGATTTTCTTCCTCCTGTGTTTGTAAATCAGTTTATTGTGCTCTCACCTGATGTATTTGATCTTACACTCAGGTATGGTCAATTCACACCTTGAAACATGTACAGTTGTGTTCAAAATAATAGCAGTCAGACATCACTAACCTGATCAATCACTGTTTTTGGTAGAAATTATATTTCTACATGGCAAATAATTTACTAGCAGGTGTAGTAGAGTAATAGAAATGCTGATTCTGTGTAATTGAATCACTAATTGAAAGGGGAATGTTCAAAATAATAGCAGTGAGGAGTTCTATTAGTGAGGTCATTCATTCTTTGAAAACCAGGTGGCAATTATTGCCCTTATTTAAGGAAGGAAGGCAGCAAATGTTGGACATGCTGGTTACAGTGCATTTCTCTCTAAAATTCTGAGGAAAATGGGTCGTTCCAGACATTGTTCAGAAGAACAGCGTACCTTGATTAAAAAGTTGATTGGAGAAGGGAAAACATATAAAGAAGTGCAGAAAATGATAGGCTACTCAGCTAAAATGATCGCAAATGCTTTAAAATGGCAACCAAAACCTGAAAGACATGGAAGAAAGCAAAAAACTACCATTCGAATGGATAGACAAATGGATAGATGGATTTTGAGCTTTATTCACTTTTTTCAACACACTGCTATTATTTTGAACACAACTGTATATCCTCCAGTAGTCAACATGAATGCTGTACCAACTCAAGTGTCCTTCGTGCTTCCACCAGTTGATCCACATTCTCCTCAGTACTCAGATTTCAGATGAATACTAATACTAGTGCTATGTGTACAAATGCACCATGCATTTATTATGTACAACCAGTGTACCACCTTTGACCAGATGTGCCCTCACCTGGTCTCTTTAGTGTCAGCTTTATATATAGGTCAACTAGGATGGATCTTCACTCAGTTCGGTTGCTTCCTCCCATAGCTAAGGGCACAATTCAACTGGTGCATACAGGAGGAAGAAAATCACAGATTACAGAAAAAAGACTTTATTATATAGACTATTACTCTAGAAGTAAATATTTTATTTAATTTACATATAGTGAGAATAGCACTGCACTGGTCTTGTAAAAAGTCTTACACTTGCACACTTGCACACTTTGTACACTCTGAGATTTTGTAAGATTAGAATCAGATGCATGATTAACCAGTTATACCAAGCAGGTGCTAATGATCATTAATTTCATATGTAGGTTGAAACACAGTCATTAACTGTAACAGAAACAACTGTGTAGGAGGCTTAAAAGTGGGTGAGGAACAGCCAAACTCTGCTACTAAAGGTGAGACAGTTTCATGTCACAGGTCAGACACCATGGCAAGACTAAGCACAGCAACAAGACACAATGTAGTTATTCTGCATCAGTAAGGTCTCTCCCAGGCAAAGATTTCAAAGCAGACTGGGGTTTAAAGATGTGCCGTTTAAGCTTTTTTGAAGGAGCACAAAGAAACGGGCAACGTTGAGGACCGTAGACATGGTGGTTGGCCAAGGATACTTAAAAGCAGCAGATGAAAGACACATCATGCTTACTTCCCTTCAAAATCAGACTGTAATGGATTGTGATAGACAGTCCACGTTTTATTAGATGATCAGTAAAATGACAATTTTATAGTCTTGCTACTGTCTGTTTCTTGCTCTTTAAAAATTCCTTACTCTCTTAAGTAAACAATCAGATATAGGTTGACAGAACAATGATGATAATTAAGATGGCGCCTTCATCCTGAGTCTCACCCTTGGTGACTCATTAGGAGAAAAGTATCTTTTAATGTAAACAACCCCCATAAAAGGGAATGAGTCTTTTTGGAGACAATGATTGGAAGATATCAACACGGATGGAAGAACACGCAGAAACCCAGTGGACATTTCACCCAATCAATGTATATGCTTTGCCTGCATCATAAGCCCTATAAATAATACTGTTAGTTCCTCAATAAAACAGAATTTTTAGGAAGTTGACATACTGCAACAGTGTCAGTGTCTTTCTTCCACGTGCACGTAATTCTATATTAATTTGGCTCACTGGTAGATCACGGTAAATGGTCTGTAAGTGACTGAGTCCAAAACAAGACGATGTCCGGAAGTGCCATCAGCATAGAACTGGCGGAAACCAGTGAGACCCAGGTACACCCATCTACTGTCTGGATAGTCTGGCCAGAAGTGGTCTTCATGGAAGAATTGCGGCCCAAAAGCCATACCTCCAACACTGAAACAAGGCTAAGCGATTCAACTATGCATGAAAAGGAATTGGAACTGGGGTGCAGAAAAATGGCAGCAGGTGATCTTGACTGATGAATCAAAATTTTTAATTTTTGGTTGTGGCAGGAGGCAGTTTGTTCACAAAGGGTTGGAGTATGGTACAATAATGAGTGTCTGCAGGCAACAGTGAAGCATGGTGGAGGTCCCTTGCAAGTCTGGGGCTGCATTTCTGCAAATGGAATCAGAGCTTTGGTCAGGATCAATGGTGTCCTCAGTGCTGAGAAATACAGGCAGATACTTATCCATCATGCCATACTAGGCTTGCAATTGGCCCCAAGTTTATTCTGCAGCAGGACAATGCCCCAAGCATACAGCCAATGTCATTAACCCCTTGGTGACTGCAGGTAAAACAAATGTTAATGCAACTACTTAGTGTATCCAGGTGGATTATACCTTGTTTTTTTCAGGACAATTTGGGCTTTCTTTTGGTGGTAAATGGTAATGAATATCCCCTGATTTTTTATTATCAAAGAAAAACTGTCTCAAAAAAGTAAAAAAAAATGTATTTTAAATGCAGCTGTATATTTCTTGCTCTTACCATAACTTACCACCAAAAACCAATCCAAAATAAATTCTCCTGCTTCTGACAATCTCAGCGATACTACATATGTGTATGTTTTTTCCATAAAGCATTTATTAACAGAAAAAAACAGTACACGCATAGCATAATACACTCAGACAGCAATTGTGAACTGACCCTGAGCACAGGGTGACAATGATCAATATATCACAAACAGGAAAATGTACAAAAACCTAGAACCCATTAAAGGCAAACAGTAATGACTGGAGATGAAACTCCAGAACAAGTAAATAGGGAATAAGGTCCCATCAGAGCCCAGCGGAAACCAACGCAAATAAGAGGGTGATTTGTATGTTATTTGTTGTTTTTACAAGTAGTAGGGCCCAAAAACAATAGTGTACATTTTGCTTTTTTAATCTTACCTAAAAACACACTGATGCTGATACTAATTTAAAAAATGTTTGGTTTTTTTAAATCCTACCCAACCTGATTTTTGACCCTGACTTTGACCCTAACACTAACCTTAACACCAACATTGATGACACCTTGATCTAGCCATTTTTATCTTTCTCTCCATTCAGAAAACAAAGAAAACACAGGGGCAGGCTGCACAGTGTCTGATCACTGTACTAGCCAAACCGAGGCTATCACGGCAATCATATGACCAGCAACCTGTTCCAATCGTTAGTACGAGACTGTGTGG